TTATTATGTATTTATCTTAATATCAATATTTGTCTTACTAATTAAATTTATTAATTTAGTAAATGTGCATAACTTATACTGTTAAATATGTATTGCAAAACTCCCACCTATTCTCTAAAGTTGTAGAAGATTCTTGAGTGTAAGAGTCAACAATATATGTGTGTACATAAATGCTAGTGTTAGCATCAGTATTTTTACATAAATTGAAATTTTGAAAACTCTCCACACGGCTATAGATATAACCAATGCGCCATGCCAAAAAAAAAAGAGTATATATATTATTGGTGTGCTATAAACTTCTGAAACTGTAACTGTGATTGTTATAGTGCTTATTAATCGGTACACTTCAGATATTTGACTAGGAACATTTATAAATTTCAAACATTATAAACCATTTAACTTCAGTGGATTCACATTGAACATTAGTACTTTTATGAAGATATTATATAACTTCTGAAACTATAACTGTGATTGTTATAGTGCTTATTAATCGATACACTTCAGATATTTGACTAGGAACATTTATAAATTTCAAACATTATAAACCATTTAACTTCAGTGGATTCACATTGAACATTAGTACTTTTATGAAGATATTATATAACTTCAGTGGTAGAAGAAGCTCAACCTGTAATCGGCGTGTGATCAGCGAGAACTACAGAGCTAGCTAGCTCCCTATTAAGTGAATTGTACGTATATCAATGCAAAATTAACTCGCTCATCGTGAACCCTCGATAAGATATCAAGGAAGTTCCAGACTAGAAAGAAAACTTTATATTGCTTGTAAAACGTTTGTATATAAATCATTGTTTGTAATAACTGTTTTTGTAAATTTTATTATTGTTTGTATATTTGTATAAAAAAGAAAACTGTGTATCAATCTTGTTGATAAATATTATAAATTGTATATATATCAGCATTTATTTAACTACTAAATCTAACTTACAATTTAATTCAGTTTTAGGCTATTTGAAATTGTAGTACATAACAACTACTACTTGTCAACTTCAGTTCTGCAAAGTGTTGATACAATAGGATTATATCTACTGGCACCAGCTGTCTTAACTTCATGATGATTGAGCTCATTCCCATCCATATAGATTGGGTGGCTGTTGACAGTTGTATGACTGATTGTCAGAGTTGTCTCTCACCTTTAGATTTAGAGTTTCTAATCTGGCTCATCCTTAATGGCCAAATAAGTACTTATAGATCTTTTCTCTTTATATTCTGGATCAGGTTATGATAAAACAATGATCCTGTATCCTCTGACTCATCAGTCTCCTCCTCCTCTGATTCCTGGTCAAGTGAAGTCACCAGAGATTTGTTGGTAACATATGTATGCAGCTAGATGATGTGTACTACAAGCTTTCACATGCCTCTCTACTGCTATAATTTGTTAATGGACACTACCAGAGCACGAGCCAGAGTCAAATAGTCTTCATGCTGCTGGTA